CAGTTAACAGCTTTTAAAATCTAAAAATTTAATTAAATGCAAAGACAGGCAAATACGAAAACATCAAATGGTGCTCAGCTGCCAGGTGACAATTGGATGTACTAGCTTTCAAAAATCAATATAAAATTCCAAAATAGAGAAAAAAACTGCTTCACAAAAGGGCTTCACACTCTCCCAGGACAGGGTGAGAAGGGATAATACTGCTTTTCTCCAAGGACAGAGCAAATTTGAATGATCCATCCTCTCCTGTAATTCCCAGAATGACACAGAACATCGATGCCAAGCCTGACAATATGTTGCTGAGTGAGTGGTAGCAGAGAGAAAGTGACTGTGATAGAAGACAGCATGGCCGGGATAAACAAACAGGTGCTGTCAGCCAAATGCTGAACACTGCAAATGCACCACAGCAGATGCCCTGATTAAATAAAATGTGAAGTCACAACATTTGTTTGAGTGATTGAAAAAAATCAACATGCTCTCATGATCACAGATTCATCGATTTTTTGTGAGAATTGGAAATAACTAAAGCTCTGGCATTACTTTTCTTTTAGCTTGTAAGTTTTTAAAAAGTAAATTAAAAAAACTCTTGAATGGGAACAGTCTTCCTTTGAGTCATTTTTCAAAATCAGGGTTTTTCTATCTCTTGCTTCTGAGTGGAAATCTTTACCAGCCTGCTCTCAAAGACAGGCTGCATGCCATGAAGAGTTGAACTGACTTTGAATCTAGTTTCATCAAGGAAGAAAATGCTAAACTTCTGGTAAAGATCTCTTTCACCACCCTCCTCTGCCTTGACAGATGCTGCTGTAAGGGCTCTTCTCATCCGCTCGCTCAGCTCACCTCTCCGTTCACCCTTTCACACATGACAAGCTGTGAAAGTGCACAACCTGCCTTCAGGAGTCGGTAAAAAATCTCCAAAGACTCTCCAGCAGGATTAATACCTGTTGAGAGGTATTAATACCAAGGATGCTTTATCCCAGGCCTGTCCAGCTCCCGCACCATCACCAGGCAGCCACGCTGCTCTTTGCAACGGTGTGAGTCCTGTGATAGCTCAGAGGCTGCATCTCTGAGCAGCTCTGAAATAACCTAGAGGTTATCCAGAGCTGTGCTGGATGTGCCTACCCATTTTATACTCTAGAGAATGAAGGAATTCCAAACAGAATTTTTACAATAAATACCATATGGCCTCAAGTTCTCTGTGTGACATTCAGTGGTTTGTTAAAGGGACAAAAAGGACAAGCAAACCAATGAAATGTATAAAAGTCCCTGAGCAAACAACAGAGGAGATATTTAGCCAGAGCAGTCTGCTTATGGCTCAGCTCAGATTCCTCCGAAATCTGGCCCAGGATTGTGCAGCACCCCCCAACTATGACCATTATGGTCTGGGGGAAAAAGAAGCTCTGCTCAGAGAACGTCAGCCAGAACTGACAGATTGCAGAGGAGATAAGGAGGCAGAAAAGCCCTGGTGCTAGCAGGATAACTTCCCTTCTTAACCAGCCCAGGGACCTTAGTGGTTTAAGGCACATTTATAAAAGCTCACAAAGAAAAGGTTAATAAGCCAGGTAAAACAGAATAGAAATAGGAGATCCTTGGCTGTTTCACCCATTTGCTTCTTGTGCAAAGTTTTTTTTTGTAAAAGTAATTGTTTCCAAATGGAGGGTACCCATGTTACTAGAAGCACATTGTGTCAGATTACTTTGAAGAAAAAGGTTTATTGTCAGGCTAATACAACCAGAAAAAGGAGCAAGAGCACTAAGATGCCATCTAGGATTAGTTTTGCTTGGAAATCGGTCTTGACCACCACCACTTGTTCCTTCAGGGAGAGACATGATGGCGGCAGAAGCGGTCCAGGACACAGCTTCCTCGATGCAACCTGTTCATTGCAGCTGTGGGATAAGATCAGGGCTGGCCGCAACACCAGTCAGGCCTTATTAACCCCCTGCTCCTGCTATTCAAGAGGCTTAAAGATTTTAGATGTTATGTTGAAGACAAAAAGGAACAGGAGAGTTCCTCTTCCCAGCGGAGAAAACTAAATTGGGTAGAAGACCAAACCGGTTAACACAAGCTGAACCCTCACTCTTCCTGAAACTGTATCTTCCTAAAAGCTTCCGTTTTTCCTTTTGTGCATAGCAGCAGAGAGATCCCTGACAACCAGAGAAGACCCCCTTTCTCTGCTTCTACCTTCTCCTGTAACCACCATATTACACATTTTTCCACAATTACTTTACTTGCGCATAGGCACAGTCTGCTTTTGGGAAGGGTGACTGTACCTGGACAAAGATATGCAGCTTGACACTGATACCTGCACTTCCATAGGTTTTCCCCTGTCTAATAAGTACAGATGCAAGCTTGTTGCAGACGATAAGGACTGCTGAGATGCTAGCTTGACGGGAAAGAAAAACAGAGAAGCTAAACTGAAGCATTTGTTTTAAAACAAGAGTTTTGCAAAGAGCTACAAGAAAAATTCTCCTATTCTGCTGCTGTTACAAATTCCATTGCTATGTTTCCGGTAATGTTTCTGATCAGGAGCAGCAGAGTGACCTCAGGAAAACCTTGCTGGAGTTTCTAACGTGCTCATTTTCATATTCTGCCTCTTGTACCAGTTGCCAGGGCGGCTGTAATAGGGAAAAGAAAACCGTTGAAAAACCTGTGACTGGTATTCAAGGGGCTTAGAGCAAGCCCTGCAACTCCCCAGGCAGATGGTGGTTTTAGAAAAAAAAGCAAGCTGGGCTGATGCTAGAAGTGTGTTTCCATGGGAACAAGGAGGTAGGGATGCTGCCTCGCACTTGACCGAATGGGAAGCAGGTCCAGGATTAGGATTAGGAAAGAAGTGGCCAGATTCCTGCTGCCATTCAGGGTGTCTTTTACACTCCTAAATACACGTCAGGGCTCTTAAAAGGCTGCACTAGCTCTACATCCACATGTCTCCGTGTGGATTTAATAAATTTTAAAAGTTCTGTATGCTTGAATGTAAGTGTGCGAATAGGAGTGTGTGTAAGAGTGTGTATAAGAGCACACTGCCTTTAGTGAGCCATGAAAACTGACTGTATAAATGAGAAATGGATGTCCACCTCTCATTTTAAGACAAGGTATGTGGTGGTGGTCTCTGTCTCAAACGGATGATCTGTGTGGTATGATGCTTACCTTAGCCTATTTCAGCTCTTCGTGTTCTCTGAGAGGAGATGTTGAGATCACCAGACAGCAAAATCATACATTTGATATTGCATGGTAATAAAAAAAGAGGTAGGATAATTCTTTTAAATTGTTAGTCTTTCATTTATTTTTAATAAATGTAATTGATGTCCAATATACATCGGTATTATCTAAATATTACAATAATCAGAAAATAGTTTGTGTTAACATAGGTATTTCAAAACACACTTATTAATTCTCTTTAAATTTTTGAGATTAGGTTACCATGCATCTAGTTTTTGTTCAGTTGCAGCCCTCAGAAAAATCCCTATAAACCTTATCTCCTGTTTTTAGGCCCTTCGTTACTCTAGCAAATCTGAAACAATAAACAAAGACCAAAACAAACGTAGAGAACAATAAACACAAAATCCTAGAATGGAAATAGAGTTAACTGTATGCATTTTCCTGATATATTTATATTTGAAGAGTTAGCATTTTTTTCTTTGACTAATTTGTAACAATAAACAAGATTCAAAATCCCAACTTTTGAACTGAGGTGAATTCAGGCCTAAAGTAAGGGGATGGTGAGAAGTAGATCCTACGGTTTACTTCTGGTCAAAATTTGTTGACAATTATCGCCAGCTGAAAATGTGGCCAGTAGCGACCTCTCTCAAAAAACCCCTTAGCAGTAGAGGTTAACGTTCACATCCCTGTGTTTCCAGCACACAGGTATCTTTCTATGCTTGCACAGGTGTAAACAAGAAGCTTTGGCTCATCTTTCCAACACTTATGAGTAGAGATTTTTAGGATTTGGCTTCAAAAAGGCCTTGTGAAAAATTTTTCTCCCCTGCTTCTAGAAACTTCTATGCTTAACCTTAGCCTGAAGAGCATTTGTTTGAGCTAGGGCTATTCACACGACGCAGGGTAGGCATGCAAGTCTCTGCAGGCCAGGGTTTGTTTTCTTCCTCCGCATTAAGAGAGAGAAAAAAAAAGAGTATTCACACACGGTCTGTTTTAAGCACACCTCGGTGCCCGCTTCACCTTTGTAAGAAGAAGAACGCTGTCAGGCGCCGTGCTGGCCCTCAGGCATTCTTGCAAGGCCGCTCTCAGCCCTGAACCAGAGGAGAGATGCCCGCAGGCCGGGCAGAGGCACCTGCGGGTGCGGGTGCTCCGCTCCTGGGGCAGGACCCCCACGGCCCCCAGGCGGGTGGGTGAGGGTCTGCGTGGGGGAGCAAAGCCTTTTCCCGCCGCAGGGGGCTGGAGGCTCTCAGGTGCTTCGAGCAACGCCATTAATTAATCAGGTCTTCACGGCAAGAGCCGCAACCAGCAGCTCGCCGCCTGCGCGGGTGGCTGGGTGCCCTCCAGGAGCTGCGGGGGGCCGAGGATCGGCCGCCCCGCCGAGGCCGGGGGTGTCCTCCTGCCATCGTCCCCTCGGCCGCGGGGGGGTCCCCGCCCCCCGGTCGCAGCGCCGCCCGCCATGCGATGCTGGCGGCGGCGGGGGGGCGGCGGCGCGGGCATTTGCATGGGCTGAAGGCAAAGCGGCTTCGCCCGTCTGTTTTATTTTTAGCTGGCAGCTCCGGGCGGCGCAGCTCCGCTCTGCCGGCGGGGCGGGCGGGGCGGCAGGCGAGGGAGGACCGACCGA